TCAAAGGAAAAATAAGACAGAAGGAAACTATTTAAACATAAAAGATTGGTTAGCAAATTTAACAAGAAATCATTTCCTAAATGATAAAAAACTAAAATCACTTTAATTTAAATTTAGAAACTATACAGAAATATCTGCTATTATCATTTTAAATTTAACATTGTCTTAGAAGAGAAACGAAATTCACTGAGACAAGAAAATGCTAATTATGTGATTGAAAACTAAAAAAAAAAAAAACTCAAGTTAAAAACCACTAGACTGAATAAGAAATTAAGCAAAATGACTAGAATATACATTACACACACACACACACACACACACACACACACACACACAAGTCAATTGTTTTTCTCCGGTCTGGCATAAGAGAGGAGAAATTATTTTGTTTACAATAGAAACAAAAACCACAAAATACATTGAAATTAATTCAACCAAAAGACTAGATCTCTTTTAACCAACATTATACAATCATCTTGAAAGACATAAAACAAGGCCAGGTGCAGTGCTCATGCCCATAATCCCAACACTTTGGGAGGGCAAGGAGGGGCCAGGAGCTTGAGACCAGCCTGAGCAACATATTGAGTGAGATCCTGTCTCTCTAATAAAAATAAAAAATAAAAAAAACTACAAAAAACATAATTAGGGATACATGTACCTATAGTTCTAGCTACCCAGAAGCCTGAGGTGGGAGGATCCCCTGAGCCAAGGAGGTTTGAGGCTGCAGTAAGCTATGATTGCACCACTGCACTCCAGCCTGGGTGACAGAGAGAGACCTTGTCCACAAAAAAAGACAAAGAGAAAGAAAGGCATAAAACAAGACCTGAAGAAATAGAAAAAATCACACCACATTCTCGAATAAATACATTTAATATCAATTTTGTCCAAAATAATGAATAAATTACAGGCAATTCCAACTGAAGTACTTTTGCAGTTTGTTTTGTTTGGAGTTTTTAAAACTGATTTTAAAAATCCAAGTTTAAGTGTGATACCCAGAAATAGATTAGAAAAAGCATGAAATGAGCACTCAGATGAACTTGCCTTACCAGATATCAGAATCTTTATTTCTGTATTAGTCAGGATGAGCTATCTCATAGTAACAAATTAACCCCAAACTCTGGTGCCTTAATACAAAACAAGTTTATTTCTTGCTCATGCTATATGTCCAAGATTTGGCAGGGACCTGTGTTAAGATCACTTGGGTGATAGAGGCCTGTCATCTTATAGCTTATCATCTGGAACATGGGGACTTGGCAGGGAGGAGAGAAGGTATGCTGAAGTCTCTCTCTCTCTCTCTCTCTCTCTCTCTCTCTCTCTCTCTCCACCCCCTCTCCCTCTCCACCCCCTCTCTCTCTCACACACACACATTTTTATGCTTGACTAGAAGTAACACACATAATTTCCACTCACAACCTATTGGATTTAATTAGTCATAAGGTTCTGCTTGATTGTAAGGGCTAAGAAAAAAAAAAAAATATATATATATATATATATAGAGAGAGAGAGAGAGAGCATTATTATAGGAATAGACAGATTAGTAGGAAGACTAGAGAAAATAAATATTAAATCGCATGTGTTTGAAAACAATCTTTGATGGTTAGACTTAATCTTTTAGTTAAATCAAGGATGATGCTTTAGTTCTCTTCCTTCCAAAAAACAGAATAGAACTTTCAAAACAAGCAAACTACATGAAATAAAATAAGAGTAAAAATATTTTATTTACTTTTAATAATATAAAATTATAAACTGCAGATGAATTAAAAACCTAAATGTAAAAATAAAACAATAAAAATATTATCGAGAAAATATAGGAGACTATGTGAAAAAAGCCAGACAGGAAAATATAAATACTACTAAAGCAAATATGATTACATAAAAATTGTTTAACTTTTTGTAACAAAGCTACACAAGAGAAAAATAATAACATTAGAAAAAATATGTATGGCAAAGTGTTTTTACCTGTAATATACAAAGAAAAAATGTCTAAAAAGCAATCCAACAGAAAAAGGGGCAAGGGATATGAATAGACAATTTATAGACAGGAAAATCTAAATAGAAAAAGAAAATAATTTAAAAGAATTTCAAATTTTACAGTCATCAAGAAAATGTACACTCCTTAAAAGCAATGTTATAGTATTTTACAGCCACCAGATTGACAAAACCAAGAAGCTCTTTAATAACTATTACAGGAGTAGATGTGGGGAAAAGAATAAACTAATTGCTAGTAAAATGTACCTAACTGGCAAGATCTAAATAGAAATAGAAACAACATATATACACATTTGTATACGAATATAAATATAATCAAGCCCTACCCAGCTATTCCACTTCAAATCTACCCCATAGAAAGAAAACATCAGGCTGTAGAGATATATGTAAAGAATGTTTATTATAGCATTGTCTTTCTCTAGTGACAAAAACAGGGAGCAAAGTGACTTTTAATGAATGTATAAATTATGGTGCATCCATAACATACGAATAATATTTAGTCCTGGAAAACAATGAATAAAAGCCACACCTGTTGACTCTGAAGGGTTTGGAAAAAGTTTGAGGTGAGGAAAAAGCAAAATGCAGACAACAATGGAAGTCCTACAGTTGCATTTACGTGTAAGAGCATTATGTGTGCTTGTATTTCTGTCTATATAGCATTTAAGAGGCTGACAAACAAGGAAGGATTTATGCCTCATTGATAATAGGATTTACTTTGAGGTGGGTGATTTTGTGTTGTGTCAAGGAGGGAGTTCAGAGAAACAAGGAAAAAAAGGATAAGAGCAAAAAAATACCAGTTATTGGAAGAAAATAGCATGTATAGAATTTTATCTATACATTTGTCCCCAGTATCTCCATCCCCGAGGAGCAGAGTAGCTGGTTCCAGCTATCAACAAGCTCTACTAATAAAGGATACATGGAAAAAATGTTTACTTTTTAGCTTTTATTTCCTATTTATTTATTTTGTATTCAGCTTTTTATCATCTATTATTTAGATTTTATTCCATTAGCTTTCTTTTTCTCGCCTAAGCATTGAGTAAAGTTCCTTTTGAAAATGTCAGCCTGACTTTCCTGAACAGGAGGAAAGAGGGAAGGAGCTGCATACAACTTGGGGAGAAAAATCAAAGGCGAAGTCTCCCTCCTCCTCTTCCCTCCCCTTTCTCTTTCCTTCAGCTCTTTGGGGTGGTGTACGCCCCAAGGAGAGATCCAAGGTGGAAGAGGCATTCCCTTCCTCCAAGGGGATCTTCCATGCCACCGCTCTAAATGAGGGGGCTCTGTTTTCCAAAGTCATCTTTGGACTTTGCCCGGCAAGATTTAGGGGTGCCTGGCAGGACCTGACAGATCAAGGGGCGGTTCCTATAAACGCTGAAATCTCAAGCTCGAGCAAAACCAGAGCGAACCAGCAGACTCCCCGCCCCAGCGAGGGGATCCGATTTTGGCCAGGCATTACTCAATATGATCAATTTCCCAGCCTTAAAAGGGCTGCCGGAGAGAGACTTTGAGCACTCGCCACTCATTCTAATGCGTAAACGCCGCTCCCGGGAGGGTGCGGCTGTGCGCCAAGCCCAGTTTACGCACGGGTCTGCACTCACCATGCCCGCTCGTGTCCCACAGTTCCCAGTCCCCGCAGTGAAAGGAGTGGGGCGGGACAGAGGGGGTAGATGGGCATCCGAGGACTTGGAAGGCTCGATTTTCCGCGGAACCGTATGGCTCGCGGCAGCCTGGCTGGAACACGCTCCAGAGCTCAACCGATCTCGGCTTCTCCATAACGGTTCACGCGTGGACTGGCGAATCTTTCCCCCACCTCCTCCCGGTGCCTGGCACCACCCCGACCGTTTAAAATGGCCTTGGACCAGGAGTCGAGGCCTCCAAGTCCGTCGGCGGCGGGGCAGGACGGAGAAAAGGCGGGTAGACCCGCCCATCAGTCCCTACGCAAACTTGAAAGGGGGGCAGAGGGAAGAGTCCCCAACCCTACACCGGGCCCGGCTCTGGCCTGCAGGCCCAGGAGGCGCGGAGGTGGAGGATGCCAGGTCCCCGGGAGGCGAACGCAGCGCCGCAGTGGGTGCTGGCGGACAGCCCAGCGCCGAGCGTCTGAGCGTCTCGCTGCCCATGGGTGGCTCCTGCGCTCACGAAGCTTCGCGTGGAGCCCAGCCCTGCCCCCAGTGCCTACGCAGAGGGCTCGCCCAGAGGACTCACCGAGAGGGCTCAGAGGGAACTTCACCCGGAGGAGGGGCCAAGACACCATGGTGGCTGAGAAAGGTGTCCCAAAGCTTAGAGCCTGCCATTGCTTCCCTGGGGCATGGGTCTGCCGGGGAACGGGGCTGGACATTTGGAGAGGTGTGTGTGCGGGGGGAAGGGGAGGGAATCCTAAATAAGACCTCATAAAAGTTGTTTTCCGGACACCTGGAACCGGGAGGGGTCGCCTCGGGTTCCCCCGTAGCAGCCTTGGCGAGCCTGCGTGCACTCCGGCTGAGCCTGCGTGCACCCCGGCTGGAGCGCCGCCGGGAGCCCGGCGCTGTCACTTCGCCCCCGCAAGTCGCCGGATTCCCACCGCCCCGGGCAGGCGCCTCTGCAGAACTGTCGCAGCGCTCGGGGCTGCCCCGCCTGGAAGTTGAGCGCCCTGGGCTCCAGCTGTTTCCCACAGCAACTGCGGGTCCAGCTGCAGACCGCATCTGGCTCGGGTCCCTCCACGCCGCCTGCTGGCCCCTCGCGGAGCGCGCGGGGCGCCCCGCTCGCAGACGCCCACAGCAGGTAGCGAGCCGCGCAAGGCGTGGTGGCTGCGGCGATGGAGGGAGACCGCGGTCCACAGCTGGCGCAGCTGCCGCGCGGCGCTCCGGAGACCGGCGAGTACGCAGCCTAGGTACTGCCCCTGCCCGGTGACGTCTCCGCAGCGGGTTATAAAAGCCTCGTGCTCAGCCTTCGGAGGTTCTGCTAACTCCAAGGGCTGAACGGGAGGAGAGGCGCCCGCGAAACCGCAGGCTGCGGCGGTGGCGGCGGCGGCGACCCCGGCCACGAGAGGCGAAGAAGAAATCTCCAGCTGGACACGGGGCCCCAGAATCCTGGCCACAGACTCAGAACTTTTGCAGGTCGTGCCACGATGGTCCTCCCGCCCCCTCTTCGCTCCCAAGTCCCCGCGCAGCACAGGGCTTTGCCTTTCCCGCCGCAGGAATGGGGAATAGGGGGTGCGTGCAGCGGCAGGTGCAGAAAGGCGCCTGGCTTCCTAGAGTGGTGACCGGAGGAATTTCTTTCCGTCTTCCAGTTTAACGCCGGAGAGATGCTGTCTCCAGACTAATGAACTCAGGTGCCTCCTGAAGCTTGAAAGTGGAGGAATTCAGAGCCACGGGGGGTAGGCAGATGGCGCATCTGGAGGCATGTGTCGTCTGAGAGGTGAGTGCTGCTTGTAAAAAGAGTTCTGTCCGGAAAGAGCCGTAAGCAGTACCTTGGACCCCAGGCACCCGCCCCAGTACCCTGCTGCAACGGGAGTGTGTGCACAGAGAGGAGGGCTTTGCCGCCTCGCTGCGAAATGGATAACGTCCTCCCGGGGGACTCAGACCTCTTCCCAAACATCTCCACGAACACCTCGGAGCCCAACCAGTTTGTGCAGCCCGCCTGGCGAATTGTCCTCTGGGCGGCTGCCTACACGGTCATCGTAGTGGCCTCCGTGGTGGGCAACGTGGTGGTGATGTGGATCATCTTGGCCCACAAGAGAATGAGGACAGTGACCAACTATTTCCTGGTGAACCTGGCCTTCGCGGAGGCCTCCATGGCTGCGTTCAACACGGTGGTGAACTTCACCTACGCCGTCCACAATGTGTGGTACTACGGCCTGTTCTACTGCAAGTTTCACAACTTCTTCCCCATCGCTGCTGTCTTTGCCAGTATCTACTCCATGACGGCTGTGGCCTTCGACAGGTGAGCTTGCCCTTTGCAAGGGCAAAGTGTCCATAGAGGACTTTGGCTTTACTGTGGAGGTTCGGGGCCGGGTTGTGTATGGTCCGAGGGGAAGACTGGCCACTCGTACTGTTTACCGACAGCCAACTGAGTCAGTTTTTGATGGGGAGGTTTCAGTCACCTGTTTCGGCCTTTTTTATCCTCCTTTTCACCCATCACAAATCTCCATTTCTTTCAACACACACCCCCTTTTTCTTCATTTGCCTCTCTTTTCTTCATCCCTTCTCCACTCATCTTTCTGACACTTTCCTTTCAACTCCTGCTCTGCCCCTTTCCATAATAGTCCTTCTCCCCTTTCCCCTTAAAGCCTGAAGGGGATACCTGGGGCTTGGCTAAGGAGCTGACCCTGGCTGAGCTGTGTCAGTTCCTCCAGACCTGCTATTCTGTTGGGCAGTCTCTTATGGCCTTCATGATTTTAAGTATACCTAGTCAAGATTCCTTATTTTTCACTTTTTTCCTAAAGATTCTGGGATTTTTCTCCTCTCATTTCAGCTCTCCAATATTATTTAGATGTGAAAGGGCTTTTCATCGGAACCATCAAATACTCGGGATTCTAATTCAGCTCCCTCTGCACTGCTAGGACTTCTCATTCAGGCCTGAGAGGCAGTTATGCTGTTCTTAAGGAACTCCACAGATAGGATCCAGGGAGCATACCCAGGAGGTTTTCTAAATTTCTCTTCCAGTCTAAAGTCAGTGTTTTTAGACTGTTTCTATTCACAGAGGAACATGCTTGGCAAGGATATTTGAGAGCTCTTCCTTTGCTGCAGCTAACAGGTTAGGGTTTCAGAAGTGATTGAAAGTGAAAAGGTTGGCTGGTGTTCTGGAATAATTCCAGTTGCATTGTGGAAAATGGATGAGTAGAGCACAGCTCTGTTGGCATTGACTTTTTTGTAGGAGTTTTAGGTTTCTCGTGTGTGCACAGATGTTGTATGTTTACCTGGGATGTGGAAGTGTGTTTAAAACATTTGCCATGGTGATTTTAAAATGGTTTATTTTTATGTCTATTCTGAGATAAATGTGAGAACCCAAAAAAAGGGCTAGGAGAAAACTGTTTTTAAAATTCCAAACTACTAATATCTTTTGCATAAAGATTGTTTATAGTTTGCAATTGATTTGAGGTATTTTTCAGCTTCTGCAATCAATGAACACTTTTTCAATCAGGGAAATCTTTATTTCAATCCTTTCCGGCAGTAGCCAAATACTGACTTTTTAGTTTCATGTCCATCTCCCTTTATGCAACTCTTACATGCTTGATATGCTGTGTGTAAAACAAGTTGTGGTAAATAAATGTATATTCTAAATTTAGAAGGTAAACCAATTAATCATGGTGATAGTGAAAGAAATTATTTTGTAAAGGTATCTTTTATGCTACTCTGGTTTTCACCTATTCCATTTGCTATAAGTGAGGTACACCTATACATCTTTCTGCATGGATTTGCTCTTTTAATCTCACGACAGCTTTCTTAAACTTAGATAAAGCCATAGCATGGTATATAACTGAATATCAGGGCAGTGAAATCTGATGCCATGTCAGCCTTACACTCGTTCCTGAGTATCTCGAAATAAGAGGGAAAGTTGGTATTTTTTTAACGCATTGTAGCTTTGCACAAGCTCTGGGAAGACCTGTCAGTCAGTGTGAGCCGGAGTGTCCAGTAGCTGACAGAGCACCAGCAAGCAGCGCTCTCCCTTTGCCTTACACAGAAACATGTTCCACAGCCCTCTGCTATTTCTCTTGGAACTTAGAAGGTTAAGGTTGGGAATCAGGGCCGGATCTCAACTCCATTGTTGTTTTTTCTCTAGGTAAACCATGGCAGAACCCTGACCCTCTGTGACGCCTGCTCAGTGAGCTCAGAAGGTCTTGGGTGCCAGAGCTTCAGGATATGACAGCACTGAGGAATGTCCCAGTGTTCTAATGTACAGATATAGCTCAAGAGGGTTATCAATGGTATGCTCAAGATTAGAGTTCAAGGTAGAATTAGGGGGGAGGCTTCAGGTCTCTGCCACCGTGTCTTCTAAATGTTACTTCTGTTTTCCTTGCTCAACCTGGTGAGCACACCACGAATTCATCCACTCAGGCCCTCCAATGAATGTATTCCCTGCATACCTGGTCATCCATTCTCTCCCAAGAATGTCTTAGAAAGAAAGGCTTTAAGTTCTCCCCATATGAATTGTCTTTCCTTCTCCCTCATGGAAACACAGACTTAGAGAAAATGTCAAATTAACTTTTTATATGTTCCTTGAATTCTTAACAGGCAACCTTTGAATCAAGTCTTTAAAAATAATAGCAATGTGATTTTCCTGATTGCAAAATTAAACCTTGTTCATTGCAGAAGACTTGGGAAACATGAAGAGCATAGACACAAAAAAATCAAATCACTATTACCTAACCATCCCAAAGTAGCACCTGTTAACATTTGAATTTATCTTTTATGAATAGTACACTATGTAATACATTGAGGTCAGATTCTATATAATTTTGTGGCTTACCTTTTCACATTGATATTAAAGGGAAATATTAATAACATTTTCACCTGTTACTAAAAAGTTTTCAGAAACAGAATTTGAATGACTTTATATTATTCCATTATATGAATATGCTATTATTTATTTGGTCATTTCCCTACTGTTAGGTATTTAGGGGATTTCTAGATTTTTTGCTATTATGGTTAATGCTCTAAAGAACATTTATATATGATAATTTTGGCATGCCTTCTTGATCATTTTCTTTGGATAGATTCAAGAAGTGGAATTACTGAGTCAAATTAAATAGCTTTAAAAAAAAAACTATACCTTCTAATTTTAAAGGATTTTTGAAGGAAGTGTTGGATCAAGCTATCTTGGTAAGGTTTGCCAAATTTCCCACTAGAATACACACACACACACACACACACACACACACACACACACACACACATAAATTCAACTTCAATTTAAATGCTTCCTGTGGTCTTTTCATAAATGGTAGGGGAAGAGGGATAGAAAGGTAAAAAAGGAAGGGAAGGGAAGAGATACCTCCTTCAGGAGGAATTTGGTTTTTTTGAAGGCAGTGGTTACCTAAAAATTTTTTTTAAGTTTCAGAGACAAACATAGTTAATAAGATCAGTTCTATTTTTTATCTAAATGCCAACAAAAATCAGGCATTTTACTATTGAAACAGTGTAATTTCTCTCACTTTAAATTTTAAAAATACTTTCCTACTGTAAAAACTAAAAGGTATGTATAATGTTTTATAAAATTTGAAGATGGGGGACCCAGAGGTGACACCTCTGATTTGTAGGGGTTAATGATGATGACTATGTGCTGTGGTCAGTATTGTGGAGCAGAGTCTAAGAAGGGAGCAGGGGAGAGAGCCATTCCACAAGCCCCAGAAGAGGGGATTATGGAGCACCAGATAACCTGACTTGAAACCAGGCACATAGCAACAGGAGGCCCAAAAAAGCACTGGCCTGGTGTCACTGCTTCTCTACTTGGTAGAGAAAGGCATAATTTCAGTGAGATGAAAGGTGAACTTTGTTCAATCAGCCTGGTTCTGCATATGTTATGCGGTGAAACATCGGAATAGGGATTGTCTCTATTATATCAAATATATAGTTGCCCAGAGAGGGGTTACAATTGAAGACAAAAGAGAAAATGAGCTCTGAAAGAGTAAGAGAGGAACCTAGAACAAAGACACTCATGAATAACAAAAATTTTGCTCACTGACCCCTGTTGTCCATCCCATTCTGTCCCAGTCATACCCAGCTGCCAATTTAAATAGCCTGCTCCCCAGATCTCTACCAGACTTGCAGTCTGTTCTTCATCCTTACCTTGTTGGCTAGACCCAGATCCCATTGTCTATCTCAGAGCAGTCCTACTCTCACTCTACCCAGAGGTGAGACTTAGAGTCCAGGATCCTTTGCACTAATTTAGATGGACCTGGAAACCCATTACCAAGCACCCTTGTGATGCCAAGAATGGCCATCCACCAGAAGCTCATCCACTACAATTGGCTCTGTCTTTTCCAATCAAAGACCTCAAACATCAGTGTTGATGTGCTTCAAAATGGAGTTTGTTACATCTTAGATGGGTCATTTACGTTTCAGGACCTTTCCTAGAGAGGTTCAATGTCCATCTACTCTCTAGAGCTGCCCCACTACATTTGCCTTATTCTCTGCCTACTCTTGGGAACTTACTAGGTCCTGAATGATCAAGCCTGTTAGTTTTTGTTTTGTTTTGTTTATAACTGTCAAAAATATAGTTTGCATTGAGAGCAAATAGTAATTTTCAATGTAAAAGCACACAATACAAGCACAATACTTTTACTATTATTGTTATTGAACTAGCAAATGTTAGAATTAAGTTCATGAGGGAGAACCACTCACTGTTAAACTTGGACAAAGATATTCAATCTATCCAGTGTTGATGCCACTAAAGTAAAATGATGTTTCCTAATTCAGAGCTTGGTGCCTTTTTTCAAGAGCTTATGCCATATATTAGGCCAAATAAGACTGGCTTAGAGGCAACTGCAATATAAGTTATTAAGTAATACCCTCAGATGGGTTGCATAGATATATTCTATAGGAGATTAGAAGAAGGAAGCCCTGCCCAGCAGTGATGAATGATCAAGGAAGACTTCAAAATGTGGCAGTTGAAGTCAGTTGGTCCTTGAGGATTAGATAATGTTTTAGAGAAGATGATAAAATAGGTGAAATTCCAGGTGAAAGAAGCTGTATGATGAAAGCATGGAGGTCAAGAGTTGCAAAGTGTTTGGGGAAAATGACAGACTGATTCAAATGAAGCGAATTTACGAGTGAAACAAGAAATGAATAGAGGTGTTGGTTGGAAGAAAGAGAGTACAGTTTATGTTGGATTTGATGTGACTACATCATGATTAGTTGGAAATGTCCAACAAGCAACTTGAGAGGTGAGGTTGGAGAATGAAAAGCCAGGGATCAAAACGTAAATTGAGTTTTCCAAATAAA